TACTTCAGACTTTCAGCTTCCACACGTGTTGTTTTAAACTCCCTCCATCTGGTCGTTGTGTCTCTGGGGGAAAATCCTCACACAGAGGAAGTCATTTATTTTACCTTCCTGCCAGCAGCAGTTTCTCTATGAGTGTATTGTTACCTTCTTAATGGAAAAACCTTCAGACACGAACTGATGAAATTCAAAAGTTAGTTAGAAATCTTTCAAAGCTCTGGTTTCACTCAAGCATCAACGTCCAGGCTGAAAAAAGAAGCCAAAAACTTCAGTTCCTCTAATGACCACTAGATGTTCACAGCCTGGTACAAAAAACAGTTTTGGTCCCTAGAGCTAATTTCCTCCTTCATGACACCTGTTTATCTAACTCACCTGTTTCCATTTGATTAAGACTTCAAGTTATGTAGAATTCAGGGCGTGGCCTCTTTGAGTGACAGGTAGGTGAGCGTATGCACGCGCCCCTCCTTTTTCCCCATTTTCAGATTAGCTGGGAGTTAGGGGCGGAGTCAAACACTGCCAATATGGCAACGGTGGAGCAGCTCACTCTGAGTGTCAAAACCGCTCTCAAGAAACCTGTGGGTGACGTCATGGAGGCTACATCCATCTTTATTTACAGCCTGTGGCCCCGAGGTACGGAGGCCAATCTGGCTGGATTTAAATCGATCGGCATCAGCTAGTCAGAAACACTGAAACTGATATTGTTTAATTGTTTTTTTAGCCCCGTCCACAGCAGCTCATCAACAGCTTCTATACCAGTGCTCCTGCTGCTTCTCTAAACTGGCAGTTGATCTGAATCTACAGCAGGTAACACACTGATATAGATGAGTACCTCGCACAACCTCACGTCAAATAACCTGAACTATCACTTTAAACTAGCATGTTCCTTCTCCACTCCTTCAGTTGCAGTATGTGAATCAAACTGAAGACAAAGCACAGCTCTCTGCTGAGAAGCTGCTACACTCCCTTAAACTCTGAGCTCCGCTGGATGCAGCTTAAATCACAGGAGGAGCCGGTGGAGTTATTACTCCGGCCAGAATCAGAACCATGTGCTTCAGCCTCCTGTGGAGACATAACTCTTGTTGAATGGGGGTTAAACCTGGGACAAAGCTGAAGACTGATGATTGGACAAACCACACCTAAAGACAGTGACAGTGAGGAAGGAGCAGAAACTTCAGCACAACTGTCTGAACTAACCCGTGGATTTCACTGTTTATATGGGCTGAAAAGGCCAAACAACACCCAGAGGTTGGTGAGATCCTGGATAGAGAGGCCGGCATAGAGTCTACAGAAGGAACTGGGCCACTCTCCATTCTTCTTCTTCTTCTTCTTCTTTTTTATTTATTTCTGGACACAGGTGACGTCATCATCAGTCCCAGAATATCAACCAGTTTAAACTAGAATCGTGACGTTTCATCCACCAACCAATCAAGTATCAGGAAATATGGTCACAAATCAGCACCATTGAATTATGGTGAGAAATGTTTTTTTGCAGAACATTATGATGTCACACTGAAGTTGACCTTTTACCTTTTGGATATAAAATGTCACACCACTTCATTTCATCCTCATAGATATTTGAGTTAAAAATTGTGTCATAATTAGTATGAACTTGTGAGTCACAGTGACCTTTGACCTTTGACCACCAAAATCTAATCAGTTCATCCTTGAGTCCAAATGGATATTTGTGCCAAATTTGAAGAAGTTCCCTCAAGGTGTTACTGAGACATTGCGTTCACAGGAGTGAGACGACCTGAAGCATGGTGAGTACTCCTGACTGTCGTAAAAAGATCTTTATGAAAACAACCTGCAGAGACTCTGAAGACCTCATATTACACTCTGTACACAGCACACACACTATCACTGTCAACACCAGCTGACCCAGACTGGAACAGACCCGGTCCAACGTGCTCCCCGGATCTGTTCAGGATCAGCTCAACAGATCTACCTGTCACCTTCCCCTTTAGGTCTGAGTTCAATTTCGAGGTAGTTCATTCCTCTGTCTTTCATTTGTTGTGCAGCTGGTACCTGGAGGGCGGGGTCCTGATGACATCACCCTGCTTGGAAGCGCCTGGACCCAGTGCTTCCACCCTATGACAGGTCACTTCTTCAGACTGTCTCTCTCTCTCTCTCTCTCTCTCTCGGCTCCTCATGCAGCCAACATCTCCTCACACTTCATACATCACACTCATGCTCACATGCACCCACGCCACTGACTGTACTGACCACACCTCAGGGTTTTCCTTGGTTTTTTGTGTTAGTTGTATCATTTATTTTAAATCAGGTTCTTATTGATAGCCCCATCCTGCGTTTCCCTCACTCTTTGTTCATGACTTTTGAACCAGGTCCTGACACCTGTCTTTAGGGGATTACCAAAAATAACCAAACATAATCTGGCAATAATGAATGTCTGTACCTGTGTTTCTGGAATAAAGAGGTGGACTGACTGTTCAGCCAATGATCAGCATGTGAACCACAGACCAAACCTCTAATAACTGCAGTAAAAGTCCCAGGTCTGCAGAATGTTCCCACAAGGAACACAGCATTTAGAAACAGACAAGTCATCATAAATCAGCCAGTGTGGATGAAAAGTGCAGTGAACTCCCTGACCCACCACCCGCCCCCCCCTCCCGCCCCCACCACCACCACCCTCTGTCTGTCCGACCACATCAGTGCTGAGACAGGATCTCCTCACTGTGTTTAAAAAGCAGCTCTGCTCTTCACTCCCTGACAGAGAAAGACCCCTCAGCCTCCAAACTACAGCACAGGAGCTCTGTGTCTGTGTCTGGGTGGAGGTTGGGGGGGGGGGGCATTTTACCGGAGATGTGGTTAGTTCCCACTGTCTGCTTTGTTCCAAATAAACGCTTCAATCTGCTTTAACGGGCTGTTAAACCTGCACCTGCCCTCCAGCCAGTGTTTATTGGTCTGTGTCCAAGCCTCATTAATGAGGCTCTCATTAACACGGAGGCAGTTTAGGGAGGAGGTGGGTGCAAGGTCAGACTGCACCCTGCAGTTGAGCCAGTGTGATACTTTGGGAAATACAACTGTACAACAGTAACAGACTGAGGTCAAAGGTCATTTCTGACCTCAGAAACAGGACATGAAGAAACAAAGAGCAGCTGAAGAATCATTGGTGTCAGAGTGTTATGGAGGATCAAGTCTGTCGTCACAAATAAAGGTGAAAGTACAAAATATTTAAAAAATAAAATGATGGAATCTCACTAATAAAGTGTGAACTGGCTTTTGCTGTTCTCGGTTCTTTAATATAAACCTTTGATTATAGTTTAATTCCAACATTTTTTAAATTTTTCAAATGAATTGGCTTCATTCATCTTGGGCTAAAAACACAACCCGTCCTCCACCCTGAACAACCATCAACCCTCTGATACCACCAATAGGAGCGTCTCCTAAATAGCGCCCCTACGGCGGCTGGGGCATACCAGACCTTGGTTGTCATGGTTACAATAATAAACACGCCGGCTGCATTGAAAGTGGCGTAGGCCTTCGTCTAGGCAGCTTAGGCACCAAAACTACTTGGTTAGGTTTGGGAGAAGATGGTGGTTTGGGTTAAAATAAATACTTGCTCAACATTAGACTTTCGCATGGGAATGGAACACCGCTCTCCTGAATCATACTCATCCATCCACCACAACCTCCTCCTGACGTGGACTTTGTCTCTCTTTATACTACGTCACCACACTTTTCCCTTTGCTCCTGTCATCATTACTACCGCCACTAGATGTCGCCTAGCAACAAAATGTAACTATGGGTCATAATAACCTGCTGCACAGACGACCTATGGGCTCGTTTTTCACAGGAGGACAGTCTCTAAAAACACCTAACTTGTATTAAATCAACATGATATGTTTACTGTATATAGAACTCTCTACTGTCCAAAAGTAGGAAAATATAAAATATTTAGTCTGTTGACCTGATGATCTGGTTCAATTTTCACAGTCAACAGAAGTTTGTGTCCACTGAGGGTAAACTCTACTGTCACTGTGATCAGTTCACTCTCACTGCTTTATCTACGGTGGCCCTGAGAGCTCAACACTCTGCAACTTAAGAAAAGACAAACAAATTCAGAAAACATCTTCGTCATTTTGACAAAATACACAGATACACAAACGCACTGCAATTACTTTAACACATGTACTATAACACATCCAAGCAAGTGCGTCCCAGCCGGGTTCACCCCTTTTTTTGTGTCCCCAGGAAACTCTTTTGTGTTCATGTGTTTTTCTCTGCAGCAGCGTGTTGACCTCTCAGGGCCACCGTACTTAGCAGCAACTAAAGGCAACTGTTGTTCTCTTAACACAATATAATCATAATCATAAACCATCTGAGAAGTGATGTGTGGAAACATTAAGGTTTCAGTATCAGAGGATTTTGTATTTAAGTGCAACTTCATACCTGGTCCAAGACATGAACCAACCCTGCCAGCTTGTCAGACACTAAATGAGTATTAAGAAACATTTTCTTCATAATATTATTATTTTAATATATATTTTTTTAGTTTTTTGATCAAATCAAATTAATAAAAATTAATCAAGAAAATTAAAAATATCTAATCTGAATAAATGTAAAAATATTGATTACGGTTTTGAAATCACCTCATATGAATATGATTCAAGTGTAAGTCTTATAAAAATTTAAATTGTATTATTTACATATTACACATTATTACATGATATAATAATAACATTGAATTAATTCATTAATAATTTAGCTTATTATTGAATAACACTTCATTAATAGGCTACTGCTTTTTTGAAAATAATTTCTGATATTGTTCTTTCCAGCAGTTTGTTTGGGGGGACACTGCTGAGCCAGCTCACATGCCTTGAACAGTTTCTTTTACGACTAGAATAAGGTAAAGGAACCCTGAGGAGGGGGTGGGTAGAGGATAGAGCTCTGCTTCAGGTGCCAGCTGCAGGCTACTCCAGGGCTGGACCGGACCTGTTCCTCCTTTAAAGCACATGAAGCCACCATTGCGTAAATCGTACCTGTGCTGGTCTCACACGGTCCCTTCTGGATCTGGGTGATGCCGGACAGCCCCTGCTGCAGCGCCTTCCTGCTGCTCGCCTTAAGGTGACACACGTTGCTGTAGGTCTTCCCGTCGCTGCCGCACACCTCGTAGCTGACCTTGCACTTGCAGAAGCCCTTGGAGAGCCGCTTGCCCGCCGGGTGTTTGCACTCCAGCCCGTCCCCACACGGCAGGTCGTCCTTGCGACCGCACGGCTCTCCCTCCCCCAGGGCGCACACCAGGCAGCAGTTGCAGCGGTCCGGCACGTAGCCGCTGGGGCAGCTGGGGCTCGGACAGGTGCTCACATCGCACCGTGTGGGACATGAGGGTCTGGGCTCAGCGCGGGCAGACTGCCTGATGTAGAGGAACAGAGCTGTGTAGAGGAGGATCTGCATTGTTAAAGTAGAGAGAGAAACTACGGAGAGGTGGAGAGGTTTACGCGGAGATCATGTTCCCGGGCTCCGCACTGCTCATCACTGTCTGCTGAATTTACATGGATGGGTTCAAATCCACATGCACCACAGACAGAGCTCTCCTCAATGCTGCCAAACACATCAGAATAAAGTCTCCTAATGCTGGACGCTGAAACTTGAACTGTTTTGTTCCTGCGCGTAATGATGCGTCCTGACGAGACCTCTGTCCACAGCATCAGCTGGAGTCCCGGACTGACTGAGCATCCAGTCTGAGTGGAGCCGGTCTCAGACAGAGAAGGAGGAGCTGCGGGGAAGAGACCCTCCTGGAGGCGTGGCCATTCAGTACTAGACTTTAAGGTCACATTGTATATATCATTTGTTATAACAAGAACAGATGTGACATGAAGGACTCATAGGACAGAACAAGAACAGTTGACAAAATGACAAGAATATGGTATGAGTCTGTAATGTATGTGTGTGTGTGTGTGTGTGTGTGTGTGTGTGTGTGTGTGTGTGTGTGTGTGCGTGCGTGCGTGCGTGCGTGTGTGTGTGCACGAGTGCACGATGTTAGAAGTAATAGATTTATCTGTGTTTTGTGATCCAGGGTAGGATGGTTTAAGGGGTAGAACGTGTGGCATGGTGGCATGTATGGAGAGAGTGAAAAGATATATATATATATATATATATATGAGAGGGGGGGAAGGAGGTGTCTTCCATTCTGACCGTGGGACTTCCAGCCCACACTGAGTGCAGATGTTCCTGCACACTAAGCCAGCCACTTGGTGATGACGTACATGCCGACGACGGGCTTGTCCCTCCATGATGGTTCTTCTCCTCCTCCTCTGCATTATCGGGTTTCTCCTGCCTGAAGAAACCCGATACACACACACACACACACACACATACATATATATATATATATATATATGTATATATACATATATAAAATTTATATGATAAAAATATAAAATAGTGTAGAATAATATGATAGTGTATGTATTATTATATTACATGATAAGACTTAACATACAACAACCATTTCCCTTTTATCGCAATATTATATATAATATATATTATATTTTATTTACCACCATAAGGTCTAGATTGTGTTTCAATGTCTCCTCCGCCCTCCAGGGACACACGGTGTTGAGATAGGCTGCTGAATCCTGTTTACAACAGGAACAGGTACAAACTCTCAACACAGGTATTCATCACATTGTTTATGTCAAAGTTCGCTTGATCCAGTTCTTAGACTTGGGTGCGGATTCTTAGATCCAATATCTCCTCATTTAACTTGAGACAATATGTTAGAGATTCACATAAAGCATGGAGCATATTACAGTAATAAACAAGGAAAAATAATAAGAATAAAAATGATGGAGCAAACAGGCGGTCAGTCAGGTAATAAAGTGCATAGATATTCATATAGATATAAGACTTTTTTAATATTACAACATTTGAGAAACAACATTTATTTATAAAATACTTTGCTAATAGTATTAAAATTGTGTTCCCAAACTTTTATATTTTGATTTGTTGGAGTCAACAGATGTTCTATCGTGTCAGTGTTGGAATTAAAACCATAAATGCAGCAGCATATTGAATGTGTCTTCTGTCTTCCTGGTCTAACTGAGCATGTGCAGTGTGAGTGTCATCACTAGCATGTTTCTGATTGGAGAATGACTTGTTGCAACCGTCTCATGTTTCGGGTGATGTATGAGTTAAACAGTTTACAGGTGTTGACAGGCGTTAAGTTGTACCTTGGACAGAGCCAGGCTAGCTGTTTTGTCCTTGTTGTAGTCTTTATGCTAAGCTAGGCTAACCACATCCTGAGTCCAGCTGTGTATTTAACCCAGATTCAGCTCACAGAGGTGTCAGGAGCTTAGTTTGGACAGAACCTGTCTGGGACTGTGGGACCGTGTGAACCTCTGCAGGGCCTCCACACGGAGCCAACCACCACCCTGAGCCAGCAATAACCTCCTCATCAAACACTTCACGCCGCCTCACATCACCTCACTCCTCCTGGTAAACACACACCACAGCTGGCTGCCAGCTGACGACTGATACTCACGTGTCCTGCACCTGAGGGAGAGGAAATACTGCTCTGTGTTCTCTGTCCAAGACTCATCCCAGACAGACAACCACACTAATCTGATCCAACAAGTCCTCAGACCTGAACCACCGTGCAGGTGATCTATCCTGACTCCCTGATACGACCCGTCTGCTGAAGGAACTGATGCTAGAGGTCCCTTCACAATAAAAGAGATCACTTCCAAATAAAAGCTAACTGTGGCTCTTACTAAGCTGCTTCCACAGAGCACCTGTGGGACCAGTCTGGTCTCATCATATCATGCCTGGACTACAAACATAAGAACATGTCCCATAAAAAGCTGAACTGACACAGTTCTGGTCTTTGGGCAGTTGCTGCTGGAAAAACTCACACAGCTCTGTCCCTCACTGACTGTCTGAGTCAACTAAAGACTCATCTAAAGCCACCACTGCTGGACTCACTGCAAAAGTCCTGCATTCAAAACTCTACTTAAAGGTCCATATAGTATAAAAGTCTCTTTCCATGTGTTGTTTGATTATAAAGCAGGTCTAGGTTCTATATTAATACTGTGAAAGTATCAAAGCCTCAGTCCACAGAGAAATGCACACAGCCTGTATTCAGAAACTGAGCCTTAAAACCAGCCGTCAGGACTTCTGGAACTTTGTGATGTCACAACAAAGCAGTCACCAAGCTCAGTGATTCTCCAACACAGATTTCTTTGGTTTGAGAATTGGCACAACTCAACAACATATAGAACATAGGTCTAATTGTTTTTAGACATTTATATGTGGAACATTTACAGATTATAACATTAAAGTATCAAAGTAAAAGTCTTTTAAACTTTAAGTGATTAGCTGATTAACTGTAAACGAACTCAAACATCTCATTAACATTAAAGGAGAAGATCAGATTGATTGAAACATTGCACTGCAAGAGTAAATAAAAACACAATGCGGGAGACGACCTGACAACCTGCTGATTGGCCCTTCCTGGACACACGGATGCATCATAAACCTGTTTAAACCTGATTTCCCCATGGAGTCACTTTTCACTGTGACATACAGTATTTATACCTGTTAGACTGATTATTTCAGACATTGATTGAAACACGCATTCATTCATTAATGAGATCATTGTTTTAACCCGCAGACACAGAAGAATAAATGCAGCTGCTGCAGTGGCCGCTCTCTCTGTCTCTGAGGTGGGTGCAGCTCTATGTGCACTCTGCTTTTTTTTTTCCTCTTTATTTCCAAAACATGAAGTCATTCATTCTTCGCTGCAGACTGGGGGCATGAGGACATGCTTTCATTACTGTCCCCTTGTAAGGGCAATTTAAGCCGAGCAGACCGTGCAGCCCCGCTCCCTCATTCCAGAGACTTTGTGGTGGTCGGTTCCCTGCATGAGGCGCAAACAGAGCAGCTGTGGTGGGCGACACATTTTATCTTCCCATTACTATTTTATTTTTCTCCAGATAACAAATATTGATAGGGATAATTATCCCATGACCGTTTCAGTTTCTTGTTAAAGAGACATGATCATGACTCAGTGTATCATTACTGAGAGAATGTGTGTGTGTGTGTGTGTGTGAAAAATTCACACAAATGGTTCATATTTTCTACGACTCTGGATAAACCGGGGTGAAATCTGAAACTAGTCTGAGAGGAGGAGGCACTAAAGTGAACTGGAGTGACGGGGGCATAAAAACTGCAAGTTTGTTATTCCAGTTATTTTGTACTACACAGCACCACCCTTTCACACATCCACCCACTGACACTACTGACCTACTGACTGCCCGTTTCATACCTTTAGCTTTAGCATTCTTTCTGGGATTTCTTTATTTCAGGTACAACTGTGTGCGTTCCCCTTCCTTTTGTCAAGGCTTAAGAGCCGGGTCGGACAAACTGGGGGCTCATCCAGGAGTTCAGGAGTCACACCCCCGACCTGTGGACGTACCTCCATGTAAACAGACTGAATGACTGATCATAAGACTGAACACACCTGAGATGCTGGTTGAAGACAACGGTCACCACATCCAGTTATCACCACTTCCGAAGAGACCATCTGAGCTTCTGAGTTTTAGAAGAAGAAGACTTCGGCTCTTTTCAGCGTCGATGTTTTATTCTGTGGAAAACCAAAGTCAGAAGGTCACATGACAAAGAGCTTTTAATGTCAACACTCTGCAGGAGGAGCAGAGCTTTGTTTCTGTCAGGTGGAAGACGACCAACACAGTTAGGTACCATATATAGTATAGCTGTCAGAGTGTGTGCTATAAGTCTGTACGTTTACATGAGCTCACAGGACGTCCCATGAGCTGCCACCTTTGGTCAAAGTAAATTTACCAGGGAAGAAAAAAGGTGGAAGTGGGACACAGCATGAGGCAAATGCAGCATCCGTGGAGAGCGGAGGTAATGACAGAGAGCAGGTATGATGATGGGCCACTGATTGTCTCAGGTCACCAACAGAATCAGCTGACATAAAAAATAATCCATTCCATTACGTCCCTGTTTATCCAGAGTCATAGAAAACATGAACCATTTGTGTGAAAATTTGTCACAATTGCTGCGTGAAGTCTTCAGTAATGGCTAAAAAGTGTTTTCTGAGGTCACCCTGACCTTGACCTTTAACCTTTGACCACCAAAATCTAATCAGTTCGTCCTTGAGTCCAAGTGAATGTTTGTACCAATTTTGAAGACGTTCCATCAGGGCGTCACAGAGGTTTCGTGTCCATGAGAATGGGACGGACGATGGACGGACAACCTGAAAAACACTATGTCTCCGGCTTAAAACACATAAAACACAGCCATTTATCCAGTGAGGAAAAAAAAAGCCTCATCATTTAAAACAGCTGCAGCCTGTGTTGGGAGGGTTTAAAATCCTTGTTTCTAAAATGTGGATATGTAGCAAGTGGGATTTGCTGAATTATTTGTTAAGTTAAAGGATGTTGAGGCTAAATCCAGGCAGGCGAAGGAGATTTCACGCTCATTCAGGAACACAGTGTGTGTGAAGACCACGAGACACACCTGCTTTTCAAAGAAGTATTGTATTTCAATGATATTTCAGAAAGAATACACACACACACACACAGAAACCAAAATAAGCCATCTCGGATTTTTCCAAGTATTCAAAGTCACTTTGAGGAGGGGAAAAAATAATAATAACAATAGTGCAGTTCAGCCCAGTCTTTGTGTGGAAAAGTTCATTAAAT